TTAGAACAAAAATCACCCCAAAGGACAAATTACAACTCGGGCCTGATGAGGTGACCTATGAAAAACCTTCCCTCACCTTGGACTTTCTATCTGGTTCTGAGACCCATAACTGTCTCCAGTGTATTATTAATTGAGGGCAGGTCCAGAAAGCCTACCTGATTATGGAAATTAGATTTTATCATCCCAATACATACCCACGAGGTCCTGCCTCAAGCAGTGTCTGAGACTTTTGCTTAACACCTGGAAGGAAGGCTCACTTTCTGACTAACTGAACACAAGATTGTGGGGAGCAACCCGGACTAGACTAAGTTACTGGAATTAAGACTTATTCTATGCATCTGCTCTCCCACAATATGGCGCTGAGAAGGGAGAAGCAGCTTCTACACAGCTGCCTCCAGTTCAACCAATAAACTGTAGGACCTGCTCCTGATTGGAGGAGAGCAGCGTACTTGGCATGTGGGTAGCAGAGTTGGGATTGGAGGAAGAGGACTATAAAGGAGGAGAGAGACAACATGTACCGGGAACATCTATCTGAAGGAACACCTGTGCAGCCCCCGAGAGAGCCGGCCGGCGGTGTGCCGCTCCCCTGCGGAAGTGGGGAAAGTGGCAGGGGGAACCGCCCTTCCATGGAGGTGGAAGGGACGGTAGCCAACCCGGGAAGAACCAGCAGCAAACCCGGGGAGGGCCGAGCAGACAAAAGAACAGCGCAGGGTCCTGTGTCGTTCCTCCACGAAGAGGGGGAGCGACAAAGATGGAAGTAGTTGAGCTCCAAGGAGTCCCTGGCTGGGTACACCTTTCCAGGGTTAAGCTCGGTCCCATGACCTACCTGAGGAAAGGCCACTGGACTTCAGGGAGACTTTAGCTCCTGCACACACTGCAACTCCACTGGAAGGACTAAAGGTTCTGTTCTAGAAGATTCGAGATAAGTAACAACTCCTTGACATAAGTGGTGCTTTAGCTCTCATTTATTTAGCCTCCCTGTCACATTGCTATTGCACCCTGCTGTTTATTTAGCCTATTTGTAATCTAGATGTTAATACAACAGATTAACTAAGCATCACATTCGGCATCACTGCTTCTCCCATTCTAGGTGTTTGTCTCTTAGTAGGAACCCTCATAATTCTTGCCCTAGTGTTGATTTGTTTTCCCAGAGGAAAGCCCCTCCTAACTTAATTTTTTAAAGCTATACCCGTTCCTGCTTACTTCCCCTTCTTATATTTCTTTTTTTTTAACTTTTATTTAATGAATATAAATTTCCAAAGTACAGCTTATGGATTTCAATGGCTTCCCCCCCCATAACGTCCCTCCCACCTGCAACCCTCCCCTTTCCCACTCCTTCTCCCCTTCCATTCACATCAAGATTCATTTTTGTTTCTCTTTATATACAGAAGATCAGTTTAGCATACATTAAGTAAAGATTTCAACAGTTTGCTCCCACACAGAAACATAAAGTGAAAAATACTGTTTGAGTACTAGTTATAGCATTAAATCTCAATGTACAGCACATTAAGGACAGAGATCCTACATGAGGAGTAAGTGCACAGTGACTCCTGTTGTTGACTTAACAAGTTGACACTCTTGTTTATGGCCTCAGTAATCACCCTAGGCTCTTGTCATGAGCTGCGAAGGCTATGGAAGCCCCCTGAGTTCACCGACTCTGATCATATTTAGACAAGGCCATGGTCAAAATGGAAGTTCTCTCCTCCCTTCAGAGAAAGGTACCTCCTTCTTTGATGACCCGTTCTTTCCACTGAGATCTCACTCGTGGAGATCTTTCATTTAGTTGTTGTTGTTTTTTTTTTTTTTTTTTTTTTTTTTTGCCAGAGTGTCTTGGCTTTCCATGCCTGAAATACTCTCATGGGCTTTTCAGCCACATCCAAACACCTTAAGGGCTGATTCTGAGGCCAGAGTGCTGTTTAGGACATCTGCCATTCTATGGGTCTGCTGTGTATCTCACTTCCCATGTTGGATCATTCTCTCCCTTTTTCATTCTATCAGCTAGTATTTGCAGACACTATTCTTGTTTATGTGATCCCTTTGGTTCTTAGTCCTATCATTATGATCAATTGTGAACAGAAATTATCACTGGGACTAGTGAGATGGCATTGGTACATGCCACCTTGATGGGATTGAATTGGAATCCCCTGGTATGTTTTTAACTCTACCATTTGAGGTAAGTCATCTTGAGCATGTCCCAAATTGCACATCTCTTCCCTCTCTTATTCCCACTCTTATATTTAACAGTGATCACTTTTCAGTTAAGTTTCAGCACTTAAGAAGAATTGTGTATTGATTACAGTATTCAACCAAAAATATTAAGTAGAACAAACAAAAAAATACTAAGAGGGATAACATAATAAGTTGTTCATCAACAGTCAGGGCGAGGGCTGATCAAGTCACCGTTTCTCATAGTGTTCATATTTCACTTTAACAGGTTTCCTTTTTGGTGCTCAGTTAGTTGTCACCTATAAGGGAGAACATGTGGTATTTGTCCCTTTGGGATTGACTTATTTTACTCAACATAATATTTTCCAAGTTCCTAACAGGGATCACTTTTCAGTTAAAATTTAAACACCTATGAATAATTGTGTGTTAATTACAGAGTTCAACCAATGGTACTAGAACAAAAAAAATACTAAAATGGATAAAGTATTACATTGTACATCAACCGTCAGGACAAGAGCTGATCAAGTCACTGTTTCTCATAGTGTCCATTTCACTTCAACAGGTTTCCCCTTTGGTGCTCAGTTAGTTGTCGCCAATCAGGGAGAACATATGATATTTGTCCCTTTGGGACTGGCTTAATTCACTCAGCATGATGTTTTCCAAATTCCTCCATCTTGTTGCAAATGACTGGGTTTCATTGTTTTTGACTGCTGTATAGTATTCTATAGAGTACATGTTCCATAATTTTTTTATCCAGTCTACTGTTGATGGGCATTTGGGTTGGTTCCAGGTCTTAGCTATTGTGAATTGAGCTGCAATAAACATTAATGTGCAGACAGCTTGTTTGCAAATTTCATTTCCTTTGGATAAATTCCAAGGAGTGGGATGGCTGGGTTGAATGGTAGGGTTATATTCATTCTTATATTTCTTAAACAGCTTACTGTAAAGAAAAACTCACCATGGGGCTCCTCTTTACAGTCTACATTTTGGGATCCTGATTTATGCACAAGGAGACTAATAGAGATTTAATCTTTCAGTCAATGTCTTCTGTACTATAGCACACAGGGAGAACCTCACCAGCTTCTGGATAAACCGTGCTAGACCCAAAAATCCAATCCAGGGTAGATATCTTATTGGAATACACTCTCAGCTCACATAAAACAACAAAGACCTTAAATGAAACCCTGATTTAAATTAAGATTTAGGAAGCCCAACCTTTGCAAGCTCCTGGTTATGTTTTAGACTTAACACTCCAGAAAGAGAATCTTTCCATAAATCTACCACCAGTCTCCCATGTAATGATCTTGGATGCCCTCCTTGCTAAAATGAGACCCATACAGCAAAAATAGGCTCTTTCCAGGCCTTAACAGGCCTCTCTACAAATACCAATCCCCTACATGGAAGACTTCTCAAGTTTCTTATTGAAGCAGTATAATAACCCACTCTCTAATTGTCAACCCAATTTGACTCATGCATTTCCAGACTTGTCAAAGGACCCCAAAAGAAGCCACAACAGAGAGAAACTAGAAAACTACTGCAGAAGATAGAAAGGAAGACATCCTTTTCAGGAAAAGCCACCTATATCTTGAAGACCACCAGACAGACATGTAAGTACCCCCTTACAGAATTGGGGCCCATGAATGCAACTGCACTCCATTCCCTCTAGAAGCTTAGCCAACTATGACAAGTCTCACCAACTGTTCTCTGTACTCCCTCAGGCCACCCTTGGCTCTGTATAAACCCTCTGCAAAAGGGCTTCTACATTAACAATGCTCTTCTCTGAATTGATTCTTGCTTACCAGTGTATAGACAATGTCCACTTTATGGGTGCTTACACACTGGGGTAACTTTTTCCAAGAGAAATCACACTTTTCAATGACACCAAGACTCCCTCTCCCCAGAGAAGAGTCTGGATTCATGATGGCTAAGGCTACTGAAACTACTGCAGCTTCAACCCATGGGAAGGCTTTACATATCACAAACACATCTGAAACTTGCTAACAAAATTGCTGAGGTCATTGCATATAACATGGCCAATGGCCCTGATAAAATTCAGATCTCTTGGATTCCCTAGCCAATATGGAATAATTAGAGAACTCTAAACTTTTTATTAGCCAAGCAAGAAGGAGTTTATGCAGTTATCAACTCATCCTGTTGCACTTGGGTTAATACCTCAGGTCAAGCTGAAGTAAATATTCAAGCCATTTACAAGGAGGCTGAGTGGCTACACAAGTATAACAGAAGCTTCAACAGATCCACGCCAATACGATGACCCTGAGGGGATACCACACAATGATTATCAATAAATAGCCTGATGGCAGTATCTATCTGCCTGTGGGACTTAGATACAGGACTCCTATCATTCATTAAAATCCAACGCTCATCTGAGCAGAAAGGGACTCTTGGCTCTGTTGAGCCAAGGCAAGGCAATCTTGACTCCTTGGAAAGGAAGGACCTACATTCCATCTCAGCCTAAAGAAGTTACAGAAGGCTCTCCCTCATTCTGCTTCCTCTTATAAGATTTAAGTGTTCAGATTCCTTCAGGGGGAATGTTAGAGTAGGCAGACAGCTAAATGTGAGCAGAACCCTGATGTCCCACAAAGTCTCAAGGACTTTCCATATCATTAATAACTCAGAATCTACAGGTTGGGCAAGTATTCCAGAAAAGGCAGCCATATTGTCAGCCACACTGTTACCTTAATTAACTCTCGGCTTATTATAACATTAGCATTGCAGTATCAGCTGTGACCCACCTCCAACATCACCATGACAGACTGGAAAGAGCCTTATTGGGAAAGAAAAGAGGGGACAGTGCTATTCCAGGAAAACCTCACCTTATTCCCAGAATTCTCCTTCCAGCTCATGAATAGTCCTGCCTCTTCATCAGAAGATAGAGGTAAAAGAGTAAATACCTAGAAGATTTGTCTCCTAATCCAATAAACAAAGCATGGGCGAGAGTTAGTCACTTATTCCCAGGTTTGTCCACTTATATATTTCTTTTATTTATTTATTTATTTTTTATCTTTTATTTAATGAATATAAATTTCCAAAGTACGACTCATGGGTTACAATGGCTTCCCCCCCCACCGTCCCTCCCACCCACAACCCTCCCCTTTCCCACTCCCTCTCCCCTTCCATTCACATCAAGATTCATTTTCGATTATCTTAATATACAGAAGATCAGCTTAGTATACCTTAAGTAAGGATTTCAACAGTTTGCTCCCACACAGAAACATAAAGTGAAAAATAATAGATGATTTTTTTTAAATGATGCTGAATTCAGATCAGACCTATTGTCATGTTTAATCCCAGTGAGAGTCAAGTTGGGAATTGATAATTTCTTTTTTTTTTTTTTTTTACAGAAGATCAGTTTAGTGTACATTAAGTAAAGATTTCAATCGTTTGCACCCCCATAGAAACACAAAGTGAAATATACTGTTTGAGTACTCGTTATAGCATTAAGCCTCAGTGTACAGCACATTAAGGACAGAGATCCTACATGAGGAGTAAGTGCACAGTGACTCCTGTTGTTGACTTTACAAATTGACACTCCTGTTTATGGCATCAGTAATCTCCCTATGCACCAGTCATGAGTTTCCAAGGCTATTGTCTGTTCTACTTAATATGACTGGTTTAATTCTGTAATTATCACACAGTTATTCTTAAGTGTTGAAAATTAACTGAAATGTGATCCCTGTTAAACATAAGAGTGGGAATAAGAGAGGGAAGAGATGTATAATTTGGGGCATGCTCGGGCTGACTTGCTCCAATTGGTAGAGTTGGAAACATACCAGGGGATTCCAATTCAATCCCATCAAGGTGGCATGTGCCAATGCCATCTCACTACTCCAAGTGATCAATTTCAGTTCACAATTGATCGTAATGAAAGGACTAAGAGTCAAAGGGAGCACATAAACAAGTCTAGTATCTGCTAACACTAACCGATAGAATAAATAAAGGGGAGAGTGATCCAACATGGGAAGTGAGATACTCAGCAGACTCATAGAATGGCGGATGTCCTAAATAGCACTCTTTTATTTATTTCTCAACTTTCATTATAGCTGGAAAGAATTCAAGGAAATGAAAAGTCAAATTGTGGTCACCACTAAATTAATTTACGTAGCTTTCCCAACCATTGTATTACAAAGGCCATTCTTCCTGGTATTCTTGGTCATTTATCTGATAACTTTTCTGGGAAATTCGACTAGGCTCAGTCCTGCTCTCCATACTCCAATGTATTATTTCCTCAGCTGAGCTTCTTGGACATCTGCTACACTTCTACCACTGTTCCAGTCATGCTCGTGAGCTTCTTCCGGGAAAAGAAGACCATCTCCTGCGAGGGCTGCCTTTCCCAGATGTTCTTCCTCGTGACATGTGCTGGCACCGAAGGTGTCTTGTTGGCTGCTATGGCTTATGACCGCTACGTGGCCATTTGCCGCCCTCTCCAATACCCAGTTCTCATGAGTGCGAAGGTCTGTGTTTGCTTGGTGACTGCATCCTGGATGTGTGGGCTGGTGAACTCTGTGACGCACACCGTGCTGACAGCCTCACTCACTCTGTGTGGGCCCAACCACATCAGCCACTTCCTCTGTGACATCCCCTTGCTCCTGAAGCTCTCCTGCTCAGACACCTCTGTCAATGAGTCTGTGCTGCACGTGGCCAGCGCCACCATCGGCCTGAGCCCCTGCCTCTTCACGGCCGTGTCCTACATACGCATCGTCTCTGCCATCCTTCAGATTCCCTCTGCTCAGGGCAGGAGCAAGGCCTTCTCGACCTGTGCATCCCACCTCACTGTGGTGGTGGTCTTCTTTGGAACAGCCAACTTCAACTATGACAGGCCCCGCGAAGGCTCCTCCCTGGACATGGACATCCTGGTCTCTGTGCTCTTCTGTGTTGTGACCCCCATGTTGAACCCCATCATCTACAGCCTGAGGAACAAGGAGGTCAAGGGTGCCCTGAGGAAGCTTACTGGAAAACAGGGTTCTCTAGTGAGGTCAGCAACTGGATAATGTTTAGTGTTCTGGAAAATTCCTTAATTTGAGAAAAACAAGAACATTCCAGCTGCAGTTATAACAGAGCTCACTCTCTGTCTAGTATCTTTTGACAAGTGTGGTCCCAGTCTGATCAATGCCTGTGCTGAGCATTTCACATATCGGAATCTCACATGCATTGTGTTCTTTTCACTGAGCCAATTATTTAGAACATTTTCATCACCCAAACATGAAGCCACACGTCCACCGAGCAATCACTTATCATTCTTATGAATGTCTTCAACTCTAGGCAACTATTTTTTTAAAGATTTATTTTATTTATTTGAAAGACAGAGTTACAGAAAGAGGTAGACACAGAGAGAGGTCTTCCATCTGTTGGTTCACTCCCCAGATGGCCACAACAGCCGGAGCTGTGCCAATCTGCAGCCAGGAGCCAGGAGCTTCCTCTGGGTCTCCCACGTGGGTGCAGGGGCCCAAGGACTTGGGCCATCTTCTACTGCTATCCCAGGCCATAGCAGAGAGCTGGATCGGAAGTGGAGTAGCCAGGTCTTGAACCAGCACTCATATGGGATGCCAGCACTTCAGGCCAGGGCTTTAACTCACTGCACCACAGTGCCAGCCCCTCTAAGCAATTATTAATCTATTTTCTACCTCAGAATTTGTCAATCTTAGGCATTTAACATCAGTGGAAATAGATAATTTGTGGTCTTTTCTGTTCTGTCTTGCTTTTCCCCATGAAGTTTCCCTGCTTTACACATATTTAGCATGTATCAGTATTTTACACCCTTTATGATAAATAATAATCCCTTATTTGAGTGTATCACATATTGTCTCTTCACAGCTAATAATCATGAGTTATTGCCACTGTTAGCTATTATAAATAGCGTTGCTAATAATATCTGTATATTCTTTTTGGTGAAGTTGTATTTTCTTCTCTTGGGTGTTTACATAGGAATGGAATGGTTGGATCATATGGTAACTCTGTGCTTGGTCTTTTGAAGAAGTGCCATATTGTTTCCAAGTGCACAATTTTACATTACATCCGGCAGTGCATGGGGTTTCCTATTTCTCCACATCCTCACTAATGCTTGTTATCCACTTTTGGATGAAGTCATCCTAGAATGTAAAGTGTATCTTATTGTTTTTGATTTGTATTCTCCTAAGGTCTTTATTTTTTTATTTGACAGGTAGAGTTGTAGACAGTGAGAGAGAGAGACAGAGAGAAAGGTCTTCCTTCCATTGGTTCACTCCCCAAATAGCTGCTACGGCCAGCACTGTGCTGATCCGAAGCCAGGAGCCAGGTTCTTCTTCCTGGTCTCCCATGCGGGTGCAGGAGCCCAAACACTTGGGCCATCCTCCACTGCCTTCCCAGGCCACAGCAGAGAGCTGGACTGGAAGAGGAGCAACCAGGACTAGAACCTGGTGCCCATATGGGACGCCGGCGCCGCAGGCGGAGGATTAACCAAATGAGCCACAGCGCCAGCCCCTAAGGTCTTTAATAAGCAACATTTCTGTGCTTCTCCTTCACATATGTAAATCTTCATCCTGCAAAAATGATTTTTGAGGTTTCAAGACTTAAGTTTTTAATCTTAATTTTAGCACAGTATAATACTGCAAGGTTTTCAAACTTACAGCCTTCTTTCCATCTGTCTGCCACAGAGCTATCTGATGGCTCTGTCCTTTTCCTCCTTCGAACTCTACAGTAAGCAGTGGCATCACCAGGTCAAGGGCACTTCAGAACCAGAAATCAGGGGGCATGAAAGCACAGGGAGTGCTACTGAGGAAGGAAGGGCATTACGTCCAGGCCAGCAGCACTAAACAGCAGGGGCTTAAAGCTGTGATAGCAGATTTGCTGTCAGTTCTGTGGTTCCAGGCACAAACTGCATAAAGAGTCTAGGTCCATGGCCCACGGCCACGGTGAGCAGAACAAATGGGGAAAATGCCCTCATATGTTGTGGACTCCAATTAAATAAGCCTACATTTGAACAGACCCCTCCCCTCCTTGATGGTGAGGAGAGAGAAAGCTTTCAGGCTCTAGCCACAATTCTTAACAACAAATCCAGTAATGAACTTTACTCATGAATGTCCCAAAAGAGGCAAGAAGTTGACCCCCTCAGTGCATGCTGGGAAAATAGGAGTGTGACAACCCTAATGAATCCAAGAGAGAATTAATTGCTCATTATTTCCAGTTTCTATTCAGGCTGTTGCCTGTGAGTTGTGTTTGAGTCTGGGGAGTCCCAGAACAGCAGCCTAGAGAGAGAGTACATAGATACTCCCAAAAGGTTGGTCCACAGGCATTTGTAAATGGCCATCCTAGGAAAGTGAGGTGTGGAGAGATCAAAGAGGATTTTTGCCTCCTGCATTAGGCCATGACTGTGCTCCACACACAGTCATGGGGAAGGCAGGTCCCCCACACGACACATGGAGCTCAGCAGCCAGTTTCACCATAGCTCAGCTGCTAGTATGGAGCGCAGCAAGCTCCGCCCCCAAAGCCAGAAGTCCAAGGCTTTCAGTGGGAGTGTATGGTAAGTAGCTCGTTTACCCTCACAACTGAGAAAATCTCTGCCCAGTAACAGGATATACCTACCCATTAAAAGTGTACTTAAAAAAAACATGGTTAAATTTTTCTTTACCATTTTCATGACTTACACTTTCATTACAATTTTATGCATATCAATTCCTAAAATAGTAATCATAAAGCCAGAATGGAAATGGCCTTACAGATTATCTTCTTGAAAGCCTGAAGGGTGCCTGAATTCTTGAAGTGAGATAACAGGAGGGGAGAATATGTTCAAGATAAATAGTATGCACTACAAGTATTATTCCTAATTTGGACAAGCAGGACAGCAGCAATAATTTTCAAAGGGAATACATATAATCACATTTCTTCTTTAAACTTTATAGAATGACAGTAGGGGCACACACAAAAAATTGCTAAAATAAAAGGTAATTAAATTTGCAAAACACTTGTATTTGGAAACTTTTAT